GTCCCCTAGAGGCCTATATATTAAAAGCCTGACCTTTAGCCCATGGAAGTATTTGGAAGTGGTGGACTCTTCAGGAAATGGGGCCTAGTGGGAAGAAGTTAGATCATTTGGGGGCATGGGATATGGAGAACTAGCCTCTTTTTAATCTGTTTCCCAGTTACTATGAGGTGAATAAGCCTATACATCCTCCTTCCTGTTTCCTCACAGTCCCAAAGCAACAGACTGAAAACTCTTAAACCATGGGACAAAATAAACCTTTCCTCCTTTTGAATGTCTCAGGTATTTTGTCACAGTAGTGAAAAGCTGACTAATACAAACCATATTAAATAGTAAAGTGTGAGCAAATTTGGCTATGTATAAACATTGCTCCCTTATCTTTCCAGGAAGTTTTTAGTAAAATCTACATCATTGGACCATCTTTGGAGTTGGGTGGGGTTGGAGGGTATACAGTATATGTATGGGGATGGGGGTGTGATGAAGTGCCAATTTAAACCCAGATATATTTGATACTAAAGCTTTATCTCTAAATTTAAAATGTTTTATTTTGGTATTTATAGTTTAAATTTGCTTTAACACAAACATGTAATAGTGTGAACTAAACAATAAAGTTGTTTTAAGGACCCAAATATGAGACACTTTGAATCCCAGGAAGTTATTTCAACATGCATTTATTTTGTCATAAAAAAGTACACAAAAATCCCCCCAGCAAAAAATACCAAACAAGAAAGAATGAAATTATATTCTTGAAGTCTCTTAAATCGTTACTGCTGAGAAAATGAATTATAGTAATTTTTAAATATATAAAAATTGATAATTGCCTCTGACAAAGTTTGACTCTAAAATAATTAGTTTTATATGATACCAAAAGCCATTATCATCTAAGTGTTTTTAAACAATTTCTGTAGCTGTGTAAACTACTGTACTTTGAAATGGGTATTCAAAAATACATGTCTGCTTTTTTAAATGAAGTACTTCAGTGCATTACTGGACTTCAGATGTGAACATTATTGCTCTTGCATTTTACAAACATTAAAGAATAAATAAATTATAAGATATTTGACAGTCTTCATTGCAAACACTGTTTATAAAGAGAAGGACAAAACCCTTGTGTTCATGTTGACGGGTTCATTTCAGTCCATTCACCAAGGCTGGCTGATCTTCCCATGCGGCCCAGCAAGGTGAGAGGAAGTTGCAGGTGCACGGCTGACTTGCTATGGATACCCTGCAGCATGTGTCAATGTGCACTGGTATCTAGAGCCTCGATTTTTCCCATCAATGAGCAGAAGTGGCATCTTCCGAAAGTACTCGATAATATCTGACACAGACAAAAAGTCCTGGAAAAGTCAAAGATACAAAATAAAGGTACAAAATTGTCCCTTTAACTCAGAAAGCTTGTAGATGAAGCAGAAAGACCAAAATTTTCTGTTCATATAATTTACGTAATAATAGCCAAATCCCAAAAGAAAAAAATTTGAAATATATTGTCACTTTTTTGTGACAATTAGAGCCTCGATTTTTCCCATCAATGAGCAGAAGTGGCATCTTCCGAAAGTACTCGATAATATCTGACACAGACAAAAAGTCCTGGAAAAGTCAAAGATAAATCAACATTGAAATTGATGGGATGAATTTTGCTCTGTTTTTAAAATCTGCATAAGGTATCCTATCTCTTCAAGTTATGAGAATGTAGAATTTGGCAAACACTTTAATGATTTCTGCTATCAAAATTTGAAACAATTCCTTTTCAACATTCAACAAATAATGAATAAATAAAATAAAAATCTTTAAACAACATAGGGGATCATTTACTCTAACTATTCTAACTGTAATACCCTTGCTTTGGGGTTACTCTGTTTCTGGTTTTGGTCTCCATATCTCTTTTGCCCCAGTCATTAACAGCATTAGGAAGTATAAGGAATTAAGAGGGCAGACATCATTCACGGTGTCTGGAGATGGCACAGTATCTATACCATGGTATACTAGTTTCTTCGGTATCGCTCTGCTATGTCCCCACTGCTACCTCCACACTCACAAGGCCTCAGCAACCATACCTTTGCATTCACACCCTGAATCACCCACTTCTTGATGCCCAGACTGGAAAAAATCACATTCATCCTTCCAGATGTAATTGAAAAATAAGACAAATCTTTATATGTTTGAAAAAAAAATTTTTTTTTTTTTTTTTTGTTTTTCTCCGGTACCGGGAACCAAACTCACAACCTTGCACTTGCCAGGCAGGCGCTTTGCCGCTGAGCTAAATCCCCAGCCCCTATGTTTGAAAATTTTATTACAGTCAAAAAACCATGTTGCCTTTAACCCCCTCTTTCTTGCTTTGAAAATATCCATAATCCTTGCCACTTTCTGAAACAGTTCTGGAAGTCCTCTTTCATGAGTGTTTGTATTTGTGCTGTCATAGCTGCCTCAGTGTTCTGAATTGCCTCAAAATATTTACTTTTCACGGTCATTTGAGGGACAGAGGTTGCTCAGAACCAGATCCAGTGAATAAGGTGGATGACGACACATGATGCTTTTATGAGCCTGCCTTTCTATTGGATGGCAGTCACCAGTGGCACTCACTGTATTTTTGATTACATATTATAAAGATATTCAAAAAAAGAGGACTTCCAGGCTGCTTTAGAAAGTGGAAAGAATGATGGAATAAATGTTCAAAGGTGAGTGGGAGTATTTTTAGGGGAAATAATGACAATATGTCTTTTATTGTAATAAATTTTTAATTTAAATATTCACTGTATTTTCAGTCACACCTCAGATGGATCAGAAGTCATATATGTACCACAAACAGGATTATATACTTTCTCCAAGTTTTTTTGCCTAGGTACTGTATCTTCCTCCAGGCAGCTAAAAGTTGCACTTGGGTATTTCCAAGAGAAACTTTGGAAGACAAACACCTCTGCCTCCAGAAAGCCTAAGTAGTTCTATCTACAATGAACAATTAAATCAAACATTTTACCAACATTATATGCTTGTGTATATATTCACATGATCATTACTTAAAAGTATTTGGTTGGAAGTATAAATTATAGATTTTTTTTTTTTTTTTTTTTC